AAAAATATATATATATTTTTTTTTTTACAGTGGAGAAACCTCTTTTTTTAACTGGGATGATACGGGTGTTCAGTTGTATCTGCATAATTTATCCCTGAATTTTACCACATTGTATTATACCATTATATTTTATGGCAGTGTATCATTGTTGTATAAGTAAATAGTTATGACTTGTCGGGCTCGGACCGGGGAAATAGGCAAATTGGGGTTTAATGGGCACACGGAGAGGCATACAGAACAGAATCACCACAGCAATACAATGACGGAACTAGGGAAACATACTCTGACGTGGACTTAAATGCACAGAACTAATTAGAAATAACAAGAAACAGCTGGTAACAATCAGAAATTCACACGAAGTTAATTAGGGGGCGTGGCACACGGGAGGATCGAACGAGCAGGTCATGACATAAATATTATGAATCAATTAAAATAGTACATATAGTGTATTAATTCATTGAACGGAAAGGCGACCGAAGTACAATAAAAAGTTTTTGTTTAACAAATTTTGATTAATAAGAATGCTAGCTAGAAGAATCTACCTTATGCATATATTCATTATGTGTTGATCTGTCAGAAAATGAAATTTTAAAACAATTTATTTGTATTTCTGATTATTCTCTTATCATTGAAGTGTATGCTGCGTACGTGACTAATCTTTGCTGTGTTCATATGAATATGATTGTCACCAGGCACAATCAGAACAGCAGCCTGGTGTCATATGTACAGAACCCATTTGTAACCCATACACCATCCCAAAAAATCCGGGTTAATAAGGAAAATGCTAATAAAAAAAGAGTGATTTGAAAATTCACCCTGTAAAATATTAAAAACACTACAACACATTATTTGATGTTTTACTATATAAATTTCATTATTTGTTGCAAATATACGCTCATGTAAAATCTGATGATTGCAACACGCTCCTGTAAAGTTGGGACAGTGGAGTGTTACCCCTGTGTAGCATCACCACTTCTGTTCAGTACACTTATTTAGTGTTTGGGCACTAAAGACATTAGTTTAGCAAACAGAATTATTTGCCACTCATCCATTATACTGGTCTTCAGTTGTAGAATTGTATGGGGCTTTTAATTATGGTATTGCACTTCTTATAATCAGCTATTCTCTGTTTGTGACAGGTCAGGAGTGCAGGCAGGCCAGTCTGATACCTGCAGTCTCTGCTTACACAGCCATGCTCTGGTAATCCGGGCAGAACACGGGTTGGCGTTGTCCTGCAGGATGTGTCTGAAAAAGAATCTGGATGGCATCATGCGTGGCTCCAAAATTTGTAGATGATGCATTAACTTCTCTGGGGGCCCGAGGCTGACATAACCTAAGCAGGACACATGAACTTTCTTTGGAGCAGCAAGAGAAACTGAAAATGATGCAAAGTCAATAATCAACTAATCAGTGTGTGGGGGAAGGGGGGATAAGGACTGTTGGTAAAATTTTCAGATTGAAATGGTGACATTCGCCCTTATTTGTCTGGTCTTGGTCCCTGATTTTGCCGGGTGGGGCCCCCGCTGTAACCTTAGATAGCCTATGCCAGAATCCATACCCACACATACACTATATGGACAAAATTACCTCTTAATCACTGAATTCGGGTGTTTCATTCCCTTTACACAGGTGTATAAAATCAAGCACCTAGCCATCCAGTCATGTTTACAGACATTTGTGAAAGAATGGGATGTTCTGAAAAGTCGGTGAATTCCAGCGTGGTGCCGTCTTACTATTATGTCTCCAGTTTAGGACACGTAACAAAGAACACCGGGTACATAAAAACAAAAATGCCTCATACTTTTAAAAGTCGTCACAAGTGCTGTACAATTTATTGTCCCTGGCCACCAACCTACCACGT